TAATTGTAAAACGCATCTCTCTTTAGATCATCCATGTCGTAGTGAACCTCTTCCTCGGCATTTATTAAGCGAGCAGTGACTCTACCCATGTCCTTTGGCACTATCAAGCCTCCTAATCGCGAATCTATTTGCATTGGAACCAATCAGAAGCGATCATGCTTCGAGTGGTCTTTTGCTCTTTCAGCCCCTTGAAATCACAAACTATGTAGAGATCAGCGTCCTACGTAGACTTGCAGCGTGAGCACGATGCATCTATGGCCCCCCATGCTGCCATCTCATTGACGGGTTTCCGCGCCAGAGTTCGCAAAGGATTTTAAGCGCAACGATTTGTAATTACAGATAAGCTGTGGCACAGCACTATTATGCGCCACTTTAGAGTATTATGGGCTCTCCGTAGCATAGCTGGTGGTGGCTTTGGGTCGGGGACGGACGGGCTGTCAAGTCAATCGGATTCCCAGATGGATTCGAACGGCGCAACTTGTCTTGTGAGGATAGGGAAAAAGGACGAACATGCACTATCTACCCAAGAGTAGAGGTCAGTAGGCATCCTTCATCGAGGATAAGGCATGCTTGCATTTGTCGTTGGATTGTTCCTTGTTGAAGCCTCACACCGTGTAGCTGAGAAGCTTGAGGTGAGCATCCCCTAAACTGATATTGACCTCCGACTAATCAGTGCTGTTTGGAAATAATTTCCATTAGTCTGCGTTTTGAAACAAAGCAGGAGCATTAAGAAGAAAAAGAAAATATCCTCATCACAATAGCATGACGGGGGAGGGATCTACAGAGTACCCAATAAATGTCGTTAACCCCGTACAACTAACTCCGTGGCTAGTCGTAAGGGATCACTTTTCAATTACCGAATATCCAGACACCGAGCAAATTGATTGCAACTTCGCAAGAGTCAATTCAAGAGAGATCTTCACATTCCAGAAGACCATGATTCGCAATTCGTAAGTACGCACTAGATACGCAGTACAATACGCGTGGAATAAAGTAGCAGAAATTCTGTTCAACTGGCGGTGGTGATCTGTCACTTTTCAGCCTCCAAAGGTTGCCTCGTCATCCTTTGTACACCGGTACAGAGGACCTCGTACATTGAATTTGGATAAAGTTGGGATCAACATTGGAAGACTGCCGGGAAAGCACAGGAAGGGTGAACTTCCCACTGATGAAGTTGAGATGTATCATTCCTTCAGGCATAAGTGAGGTTTTCCAACATATGATGCCTCCACTATATCCAATCTCCCGATCAGTCCAACACTAACCAGCTTTGTTTGTTTTTTTTTTTCCTTTTTCTTTTTTCTCTCTTTTTTTTCCGTTTTTACTTCCAACTATATGGGCAGCATGCCGTCAACGGCCCCAACAGTCAGCCCCTAAACCAAGTGGATGCTTTGATCAAAACCCGAAAACATACAATTTTGCGACACAGTAACCTTGGGCATGTGGCAACAAAGACTCTAATCAAGCCAAAGATTCGGCCATTCGGCAATGGGAAGACCGTTTTCCTTCTGACCGACTTCAGCAAAGACATCGGTAAACTCCGTATGATACCTGATACACCAATCCTCGAAATCTCGATAGACCACGTGTGAAATGTTATGCAGTATGAATCCTGTTCAGTTTGTAGTGTCAGAATGGTCAGATTTAAGCTCTCATTCACTATCGAATTCAGGCAATAAAGAACGTCGTTGATTCGCGGGGCTTAGTCGAGTAAGCAGGCAGATAAGTTATTTACTATTACTCCCAAACCCCGGAAATGATGCCGATCTGTTCTTCATAATCATGTCAGAAAGGCCATTCTTTATCCCTTGCTGGCACTGTCAATGTATGTCTGCTGTTTCTCGTTCTCGACCTTCCTTTGCGAGAGCGTCAATCATAGTAGTTGCGATTGCAGTCTGCCCTAGGCTGGCTTTTTGTATTGCATACTCAGCGTCTGCCGACCCGAAGCAACAATAATCACCTAGCTTTCCTGTAAAGACACATTGGATGGAGCTTGACACAAGCTGACAGGGCTAGCTTCCTTTATCAGCTAATGGGAGATTGGCTCCAAGCATTCCTAAGGTAGTGTATAAGTATGGATTATGGAAAGCCTTTCAAGGTACTAAGTGCTTATGTGGGTGACTGGGTGGTACAGAGTACTACAGACTACAGAAGAGGGACCTGATGTAGTCGTCCCTACCTAGGCAGACCCTGCTACTTTCATACAAATTACGCGCCTTCCAAACTGGTTGAACAAGCTAAATTACCTTAGTCTCCTCTTCTGTTTTGAACCTTATTATAACATCTTATGATCATTAAGGCCATACATGACTCAGTCTAGTCATCCTGGGGTATGGAAATAGTAGCCTCAACAGCAGAGCCAGAAGTTCACCAGTATCCGTCTTATCAGTAATTACATAGGTAAGGTTGTATTATTCTTGAAACCTATCCATGGATGGATTGGAAACCTTACCGTGCATACAATACAGATGAATCGGACAATCAAATAGGTTGTATTGCGCCATGCAGCAAGACTAGACCTTTATTGCGCTAGTTCAAGTCTCTTCCAAGGCCAGCTTCCATTTGACACGAATTTATTGCTCCTGACAAGCCACCATTCTCCATTGACTAATACTGTACTCTCCCACTTAGTCTGTAAAGGGTCTAGGCCGGTATTGGGAACCCGGGTGGATACCTCCGATCCCCGCCAAATAACATTATTATTGACCGGAACACTGTTCAGTATCTAGTTAGCACTTTTAGGAGAAGTTCGCACTTCAGAGGCAAGAGCCCTTATGTTCATGGCACTAGTACTCCGTGGAGACTAGCCTAGAGTAGTGAGGGTATCTGGGTCTAGGTCGGGCCCCACGAAGCAGTTTGAATAACTTACTGGAATGATAAAGTTACTAATATAGTGCCCCGTACTTAACCTGTCACTATCGGGTACTTCCTAATATGGTAGCTGAGTACATTTATCTGTAGGTCCATGGATACAGCTGGAAGTACCTCAAAGTAAGTTACATAGAGACGTAGTTTGTAGGTAGGCAATCAACCTTTGTAAGACCATCTACGTTGACTATCTAAAAGGATGTAGGTACCTGGGATTCGTGTATCGTTCCTTTTGCTTTTCTTTTCTTCCTTTTTGCGACCTGTACAACGACAATACCAGGACAATATTTAGGACCCTGACTATGGGACTGGACTACCCCAGCCTTGTCATTCTCGTCCGCCCTACTCCGTAGGGTATGGTAATGTTCCTGTAAAACATCCAAACTAACTGCTCCTCTTGTTTCCGCCATCGTTTCCTCTGCGTTCTGGTACCATTGATCCATTACCTTAATACCCAAGTTATCTATCGCTGCACCTACAAGGGTATCTATCTACTACTCCGTGGTCTGTACCTTGGAATGGCTGACTCGAGACTAATAGCGGCCACCAGCCTTCCGGGGGAAATTGCCAACTCTAGTTGTCCACTTAAGTAGCCTGGGTTAATGGTAAGGTAGTTGGTTATTGGTCTGAGGTACCTATGGTTCTAAAGGCAACTTGTACACTAATAATAATAATATTATTTTGATGTACATTATTAATCGTTGATAAAAATACATGCTGTACGTCCTGCTCACTAGAAAATACAACCGATCGGAAATGAAAAAAATTAATAATAAATTAATAAAATAAAATAAAATAGAAACGAAGATTAAGAATTCAGACTGAAAATCGTCCTGGCTTCCTCTCGACTTTCACTTCCTCTTATTCTCACCCCATTTTCCTTATTACCTCCCCCTTTCCATCCGATATCTGGATATTCTCTTATCCTTTGAGTGTTCCAGTGTTGTTATATCGATCGTTTGGGAGTACCTGTTTTATCTTTGGGTCTGCCTGGCTTGACAGCTGTCCCTCAGTGATATTGAAGTATAGAAGACACACCCGCCCGTATCACCAGTGCGTTACAACTCCACCCGACCAGACACCTTAATGTCTTCTATTTGTTATTGTTCGACTATATAATATCAACTATTACCACCACCACTACTACCTACCACTATCACAGCACTTTCTCTTATTATGCTTCTACCTGGAATCGAAAGCATAGTCTCATCCAATTTCGCCATCAGCCCATCTTCTGCTTGTACCGTCAGCGCATCGGGCAATCGTTTCTTGGAATTTTCTCTTGACTGCGTCTTGACTGCTTAACTTTCGAGTTATCAAAGCCGAGTATCTCCAGCCTTCGGTTGATACTAGCAGTATTCTTCATTCTTTGTCCCCTTGTCTGCCTTCGATCTGCTACTGCGTCTCCCAAGCAGATTCCTGTTCAACTGCCTCATTATCCGTCTACCACTTGTTTTGAATACCCCTCTCCATGCTCGTCTACATTTTAGGGTCTGTGACATTTATCTCCCTGGCATAATTCCTCCTAATATATCTGCCTCGACCTGCCAGTACTGCTTATCTCCCCACTCCCGACTTGCCTTTGCCAATTCCAAGTTGAGCCACAACCCCGCCAATCTCTATCATATCTGGACCACAGCATTCATTTGCATATCTACCAAAGTCATATCGCTCCGTCTCAACAACCATGGCCCCAGGTGTTGGACGTGATTTCAATTGTTCCTGGGAGCACTGTGGAAAGGTGGGCTTCCCTCTGGTTCTTATTGGGCCTTTTTCCCGCCCTTGTTTGTTCCCATTCTGTTGGAAATCAATGATGCCAGCAGCTATTATGAAGCCATTTGCCCTAACTAATGGTTTATCATTCTTTTCCTTCAGTCATTCAACCGTAAATCCGATCTTTGCAGACACTACCGGATACATACCAATGAGCGACCTTATCACTGTACCGTCAAGGACTGCAACAAGAGTTTCATTCAGCGCAGTGCGTTGACGGTACACTCAAGGACACACACTGGCGAGAAGCCTCATGTCTGTGATCACGAAGGCTGCCACAAGGCCTTTTCTGATGTAAGTCGATTACCAACATAAATTTGACCTGGCATTGCTTTCAGGAACTATTGCTAACGACAAATATGCAGTCATCAAGTTTAGCCCGCCATCGGCGGATTCACACTGGCAAGCGACCTTACATCTGCCAGGAGCCAACATGCGAAAGAAGGTAAGCAATATGCTCTTGCACCCAAGACTGCAAAGATCTCTAACATTCTGGTCCAGCTTCTGCCGTAAGACCACATTAACCAAGCATCAACACCGTTCCCATCCGCCAGGAACAATGACCAGACCGCCATCTGAGGATGCAATGTCGGAGCAATCTTACCAAGCCCCAGTCGCTGGTCCAATCCCAAACGACCAGTATCTACTTGCTCAGCAACAGTATTACCACCAGCCCTCGACGCCGAGTCAGGACTTTTATCCACAACAAAGTCTGCCAGTGACTCATATTCCAGTACACGATACGCCGCCGATGATGTCCCAGAATATCCCTGTCACGTCACCGCTTGATGTACAACATGCGCAACAGCAGTACATGCAGCAGTTCATGCAGCAGCGGTACGATACAACACACCAGAGCTATATGCAACCCGGCTTCCAGCAGCAGCAGCAGCAGCAGACATTTGTTGCGCAGCCTATGGCTGAAGGGCACCCGCTCATGATTTCGTACAATCCGAATTTTCACTACAAACAGCCGACCCGAATTTTAAATCAACCTGAAGGAACAGACTGGGGCTTCCTCGGAGTAGGTTGATGTGGCGTCGAGCTTGACCCTGGATTTGCAAATGGACTCTCAACGTTACGTTTTTGATATATTGCGACATGGATACCCCAGGCATCTGCTCTTTCCAATGCCTTTGCGCCTATATTGATCAGCAATTTCGACCTTCCTCCTGTGTACGTCCTGTGATGCTGACCACAATGCTATCATGGATTTTTCTTCGAGGCCAGATGTTTTCGACATATCGAGTAATTGTCTTATGCGTGCACTCGGAGTGCACTTGATCCACACTTGATTTTAGCCCTTGCGACACTGTCTTGCATTTGATTACCCGATTTAAAAGGCTGGAGAGGCGTTCTGTCCTTATTGATACCATATGCCGCAAATTGAGTTTTGCGCTAACCCTGTCCCTTCTCTATCGTGGCTCTCCATAAGTTCAAGTCCACCGTCTAATCCTATTACTATCTAATACCTACTATCCACCCTACTACAAAACCTAGGGACCTAGTATACTTTTACAACTTACCGGGTTCAAGGTGACTACTCGAGCCAATCAATAAATGAATTAAAGCCGGCGGTTACCTTTCTTTGATACCGGCCGATTAGATGCAGCAAGAGCAAATAAGACATTAGATAGTTGATCGCGTGAAACCGCTACTTTGTAGTTGGGAAGCCGAGCTCCAGGGCGCCACTTCTTGATCTCTCACTCTTTCTTTTTGCCTTTCTGATACCTTGTCCTGTTAGCCACCACCACACTCTTTGATTGCTTCTCCTTGCGACGCGCTGTGAATGTCATCCAAAAACGTTTCCTAAGGTCCAGAAGCTTATTACATTATTACTAAGGGAATCGCAAAGACTCCGAGTCAAGTGGGGCCTCCTCGAAAAAGGTCGCAAGTCGCGAGGAATTTCAGTTTCTACCTGCCATAGACGGGCAACGTCAGCCAAGGATCGACATATCGGGAACGGTTTGTGGCTCCCACTTAGTGTCATGTAAGTAGACAGACTAATTCTTCCCTTTTTCCCTCAGCAGAGAGGTATTTGTTTCAGAATACAAGATAACAACTCATGTCAATGTTTGACTGTTACCTTGTGGCTCAGGATTTACAAAAGGCCAAGTCTTTTCTCTGCTTGATACCTTATCTGCTGCGAATTCCATTCCATAGTGGAGGTTGAGGGGGAGAACCAATTAGAATCGGAAATTTGAAATCCAGCACTTCGTTTCCTACTCCAGCCAGTATCTATCTAAGGAACTAAGGAAGGTTTACCAGGCCGCCACCATTGTGGCTTGCGCGATCGACGGCACATAACATCTCGGAATGGTTGGCCAAGTCTATACTTGGACACTGTGAGTAGATGACTTGTGGGTTCGCATAGATTACTTGAAACGAAGGGAAAAGTGTACATGCTGCTATTGATTGTCCTCTCCCTTCTATTTCCGGATAAAGGATCCGGAGAGATGAGATTTTCTGGATTGCGACGGGAGGGGAAATGAATAACATTCTGGTATTTCCAGGGGAGAGGGGAACCTGAGAAATGAGAGCCAAGGAGGTACCAATTTCGACGACGGACGCTAGTAGATTCGGGGGTTAGTCTAGTACAAGGATGTGCCGATGGCCGATTGGGGTGAGGCATTATTAATGCTGCTTGAGTTATCATGACACAATCACACAGCATACCCAGTGCAGACTGTGCAGTATGTTTGATACCGGGCAGAATTATCATTTGGCTAGAGGGGTAGAGGGTGATGGCTTATCCGCTGTTGCTTGCTTTATTATAGTATTGACATGGCGGGAATAATGGGATTCCACGCACCGATACCCTTTTTGTGTACAGCCCAGGTATCAGCTTTTAACTCGAAAAATACCTGACACATTCAGAATCATACATAATTAGTTACCTTAGCCTAGCTCCTACCAGGTGTTTCACTTCCGCTAGGATCTAGGCCAAGACATTCTTACCACAATAACCAAACAGACAGGTCATGGAGCATGCTGAAGACAGGAGACGTTGGGGTTGTCCGACTATCCGTACTCAGGAGTCAGGACCCTAAAATCGCACTTTGTACGACTTGAAGGTCTAGATTCCATGCGGAGTTAACTAGCGATCTCCAGTGCGGACGGGGATTAGGGTGATCAATGTATCTCACACCTTTACGGAGTAGCGCGCACGGCATCAAGTCCAGCATCTTACGTATGTCTACACCTGACTACAGAGCGACTATAGAGTACGGAGTATTGAGCTCAACTATCTCTGTCAGCAAGGATCATGCTGTCATGGGGTACCAGGAGATTGGAAGTCGAGTCTCATTCGCTCCCGAGTTCCGACTCATCGTCGACACGAGAAAGGATGCCGCTAGCACAGACGGAGCTGACAGCTAGTTGCAGCTGTGGTTGCCTTGGGGCGCAACAGAAATCGCGGGGTTATCAGCTAATCACCGCTCTTTTTCTTAGCCATAGCTACTAGACTAACTACTATTTACTGTAAGCTGTCAGTGTTTGTGATATCTTACTGTGATTACCTTGCGTCAAGAAGACCTGGAAATCATTCCTGCGCTTGAACCTTGCTTATTATGATAAGTTGAATAAACTTTGCTAGGTACTCCATGTCACCGAGAAGGCGCCTGATGCAGCGTTTCCCTCTGCACTCACGTGTGTCCACTGTAGGCTGTTCAGTCGCGATGGAGAGTCCCTATATGCAGGTAGAATAGCTTCAACTCTCACGCTGATTCTGCAATCCTGACTCCGACTTGAATTGGCTCTAAGGGGCGGTAGTCTAAAATATAAGTAGAATGGACTGCGTACTCTGATTGCGTTGTGCAACAGATCTCACATTGATGCGTACCGTTGGTCATGGTGTCCCGGCCACCTGGCCTGGAAAACTTTAGGTAAGCTTGTTCGTATCAAAGTGAGGCTAGACAGTTTCGAGCATATTAGCCTTTGTTGGACAATAACATTCCAGTAAGTACTCCATCCCGTTCTTGATCAAGTTTCCCGCGGAGATACACTTGAATACTCGACCAGCGAGTATCAAATCAGATCAGACGGTCAATCTTGCTTAGCTTGAGCAAAATTAAGGAGCACTCTATTAAGGTACGGGACGACAGGGGCCACCTTGGCTTAACAATCCACAAGGGAACAATTGAGTTGTAGGAGCCTTGCCTTGAATTGTTTCGGTGACGTTAATGAGGCCACTAGCTACCACCAAGGATTGGGGATGCTGTCTCGATACTGAATGTACTTCGTACCGCATAGCTGATCGCTCCCTATTTCATAGCCACCGAACGTTACGATGAGCATCCACATGTCCCCTGTGTGCCATGTTTACACTGCCTACTTCGTACTTTCTCACTGGCTTAATCTCAACACTCTCATGCAGGGACTCCGACTGTCGGACCATTCCGGCGCGTGGGAATATCGGCCAAGACGAAACAAAAGACATGAAAATGGACAGGTAACGCGTGGGCAAGTCGCAAGGTGAAGTAAAGTTTGACTTGCTGGAGGCGTTACGAACTTTGGGTTTTTTGGGGACTCGAAATTATCGAATCAACAATGAGAGCAGAATCACCTGTTACTTTTTACCTTTTGCTTCTGATGATCGAGCAAAGTGAAGCAATTCTTGCTGGTTACCACAAATGCCCTGAACTCTGATCTGGATAGGGTGCAAGAGCTTGGGCCATGCACTGGCCAGGACTGAGTTGTAAGTTTGATCTTTAACTCTGTGACCCTGCGAGCCCACATATCAAGGTTCAGGACAGCTTGGCTCTAAGCTTTGTACGGGGACGGGTCCTACCACTTAAACTCGAAGCCGGCTCCATGGGTTTGCCTGTTGTGACCCACAATGTTATTTGACGGCTGACTCGTGTAACGTGTGTTTTTGGTATTACAGAACGTACGGTGGCCGTTTTATTCTGTGGTACGAGGTATACAAATTTACATCCATACATACCCCGTATCCTATACAGCGGCCAACCTCCACCTCATACCCTTCGATAATCAAACTCAAAAAGTGCTGATTCTATATACGGATCCAACAGACAAGATACTCCGCTGCGGCGAAGGCCGATGAACACTTCTCCGAATATCTCCGCCAAAAGGTTAAGCTAACTCAGGTCCAGACAGGCCAAAAAATCGCAGTACGAGACTTATGGCCTGCTTGTGCTTGACCTGTCTTGCCACCTTTCAGAGGAGACTGGTTCACCGGTGTGATCTCCGGAGTACCTCTGGGGTACTTGCTGTAGAGATGCATATTATAGCTTCTCCAGCTTGTATCTCGCAGGTACATAGCTCGGAGAACCTGGTCAAGTACTTCCAAAATGTCGCAGCGAAGTCCGAAGGACTTTGATTTTTGGAGGTGGCAACTGAGATTGAGTTGCCTCTGCAGACGGTTATGCACGGCCAATCTGTCCCTACTTGGTGCAGACGAGAGCGATTCCTGGAATACACCATAGGTGGAACCAGCCGGCCGATGAGGCAGAAGGAATGCCTGGCATCGCGAAGATCGCTCGTCTTTTGTTGCCTTGATGGTCTGCATCGTCTTCGCGATGAGCTAGTGGTCTCAATGGAGTTGCGCGTTCCCCATCTGCCGGTTAAAAATGCCCATCTTTGCTTTTGCAATGGCGGATGGGGCGCGCATTGCTGGGCTCGTTATCATCGTCGGCGTACATTCGGTGATGACAAGGTGATTTCTAATATCTGCTGTGCTCTTTCCAGGGGCTCATCGTTCCACCCTATAGGATCAATGCCTTTTGGACCTTTCCCCTATGCCAAGGTGGAGAATTCGAAGTCACTTTCAGTACGATACAGTTGAAGACGTTTACCCACATCTAAATCTTGATACAGGGCCCAGAAAGGAGACCAATCTCGAACTCTCCACTGCAGTCTGCACTGCAGTGTGCACTGTGCACAGGATGGATTGGCATTTCGCGGGTTCCACCGAGTAACATCCGCCCATGTACTCCGTTCAGGGTAAGTGGATGCTGAGCCTGTGGCTTGTGGCGGGGATTCGCTATGAGATGAGATATCTACACGGGCCAT